TTCTTTGTTTACATAGTTAATGACGCGGCGTACACGGGGTAGGGGGTGTAGGGGAGAGTAGGGGGTGTAGGGGAGAGTAGGGGGTGTAGGGGAGAGTAGGGGGTGTAGGGGAGAGTAGGGGGTGTAGGGGAGAGTAGGGGGTGTAGTGTGTATTGATGGGGTGGAGGTGTAGGTGGGGGGAGGAAATGGGGTTAGTGGTTGTGTTGGGGGGGGGGGTGTAGGGAGGGGTATGTGAGGGGTGTCTAGGGGTCGGGGGGGGGGTGTAGGGTAGGGTATGTGAGGGGTGTCTAGGGGTCGGGGGGGGTGTAGGGTGGGGTATGTGAGGGTGTCTAGGGGTCGGGGGGGTGTAGGGTGGGTATGTGAGGGGTGTCTAGGGTCGGGGGGGGTGTAGGGTGGGGTATGTGAGGGGTGTCTAGGGGTCGGGGGGGTGTAGGGAGGGGTATGTGAGGGGTGTCTAGGGGTCGGGGGGGTGTAGGGTGGGGTATGTGAGGGGTGTCTAGGGGTCGGGGGGGTGTAGGGAGGGGTATGTGAGGGGTGTCTAGGGGTCGGGGGGGGGGGGGTGTAGGGAGGGGTATGTGAGGGGTGTCTAGGGGTCGGGGGGGGGGGGGGGTGTAGGGAGGGGTATGTTAGGGTGTCGAGGGGTCTGGGGGGGGAGTGTGTGCCCCCGAAACAAAGCTCCTTCCATGAGATATGACTCGTGATTGCCAGTCATACAAGATGGACCAGTCACAAATGTCAAGGCTCCATTTAAAGAGACAAATCCGGCGAAAAGGGGGGTGAGGGGGGTAGGTAAGGGGTGAGAGGAGGGGGGGGGTGATAGTAGGGGAGGCGGTATGGGGAAGGAGGTGGGGGGGGGTGTAATGTTCTTTGTGTACGTGTTATTTCTACATATTCCACAAGTTCCACATCTGAAATGTCGCCGGCATCAATACAAGATTACTCTTGCTCTCTGCCAGCAGGCGCGGGGGGGGGGGGGGGGGGAGGGGGGTAGTTTGTGTGGGGAGAAGTGGAATGGGGGGGAGGGGTTGTTTTGGGAGGGGGAGTGGGGGTTAGGCGGAACGGGGGTGGGGGGAGTTTATGGTGGGGGGGGGGGTGGAAAAGAGGTTTGTGTGAGTAGGTGGATATGATGGTCTTGTGTAGAGGGGAGGTGAGGCTTGTTGTGAGGAGGAGGAAAGATTGGTGGGTGGGTTCGTGGGTTGGCTTGAGTGGGTTGGTAGGTGGGTACTGTGCCTGGGTGGGTTGGTGGGTTGTCGCAGGTCTGCAAGTTTGAAATGCCAGGCGAGTTGGGTGAATGACGCAGGAGGGTAAGCTTGAGTGGGTGAGTAGCTGTAGAGAGTAAGCATGAGTGGGTGAAGTGGCCTGGAGGGTGGGTGAGTATGGACAGAGGAGTGAGTGTGGATGGATAACACACCCACCCATCGGAGGTGTATGGGGGTAGTATGGGGTACTACAATGCACCACCAAGCCGGTCCTCCTAAGGTTCGCCAACGTCAAGAAACCAACCAGTCCTCGACTCAAGTCCATTACATCCAGCGGTCGACCCTACAGACGCATTCCTAAATTTTAACATGCTCTTTATTCAAAACAGGAATTTTCTCCAATGTAAATTATTATTATAATATATTAGCATATTGTGCATATATAGGCATAGGTTAGGTTAGGTTAGGTTAGGTTAGGTTAGGTTAGGTTAGGTTAGGTGTTTAGGTTCTGTTGGCGATTATTTGTATTTGTAGTACGTGGGTGAAGCATTTACAGCGTTGTGGTTCGAACAAAAGTCGTCAGTGAAGCACTTGTTCCGGAAGTGTTCGAACGTCAACAGATAAGTCGTTTGTAAACCTTTTTCATTCATAAACAGCTGGGGTTTGGCGGGTGCATGGAATTACTTTAGGGTCTTTGTTTGGAGGACGGGCTGGAAGAAACTGTCGCACTAAAGCGTCCTCTCGTAACCTACCAGAGAACCCAAAACAGAAAACGGTACAGTTTGTCAATTTCGCCAGCCGCTACCTACCAGTACGACAATTTTTGTCCTTATGTAAAGTATGCGTCAGAATGCGACGCTCTATTAGAAGGACGGGTTGATGGCCACACTTGTTATGCTGAGTCAGGACACAGAGAGAGAGGAGACCTAATAGTTGTCTACCAAACTGAGCCAAGCTCTGAGTTCCTCCCCCCCCCCCCCCACGCCCCTCACTGGCCACAACCTTCTCTCCTCTCTTTTTTTTTTTTTTTTTTTAGTAAATGGTTGAATTTTATTACGGTCCAAGATATAGTGTTCGAGTGTGTGTCCCTGTCTTTGTCCACACACTTTACATTTTACTTCATCTAGATCCCTATACAAGCCAAACTGCCAGAGATACTTGTAGCCATGTCTTATTTAAGCTGTGACAACGTCTGTTGGTCTGCTTATTTTGGTACTTGCCCCATACACATGTTTTACTTCACACATTTCATTGTGATAAACAATGGACCTGCTAGTTCCAGTTTGTACTGTTCTGCTTTCTTCAAATTCACCCAATAGTTCTCATCTAATGACACTTTTAAGGGACCTATTTGATAACTCAAGATTCCGTTCAATAATGTCTTTATTTACTGCAACCTTAGCAAGGGCGTCAACTTTGTCATGTTCCTGCAGGCCAATGTGAGAAGGAATCCACAACATTTTTATATTTACCCCTTGTTAATTAAGTATGCTTATGTATCTATGTCTGGCTTCTGAGACAAGCACGTTATTACTTGATTGCAAACTGTTTATTGCTAGTAGTGAGGAAAGGGAGTCGGATATAATTAAGCTGTCTACTTCAGTGTTGTCAATAATTTCGAGTGTTACCAGTATTGCTACCAACTCAGCTTGCATTGTGGATACCCAGTTACTAATTTTTATATTCCTTTGAATTATGCTGCCATCGGGCTGATGAGCAATAACAGCACTTCCTGCCCTCCCTGTAGCTGTATTGAGTGACCCGTCAGTGTATATGGTCTGTTCGATGTTGTTTTTAGTTTGTATATTGTGAATGTGTTCTAGGGTGCTAAATTATGCTAAGTACATAATTTTTGCTATTCTCATATTAACACCGTCCACTTTTGCGATTACCAGTTTGTCTGTTAAATACCTTAGTTTTAGCAGCGTTGATTACAAGACCAAGGCTCTCACAAGCTGTATGATATACAATTTAAGATTGTTTGCATTTCGCGGTGGGTTTTAGCATGTACAAGGATGTCATCTGCATAGCTGATAGTGATGTTTGCCGGACTAGTTGGGGTTGATTTTAGTAAGGCATTAATTAGAACATTAAACATTTGAGTACTCCTCCTTGTGGGGTGCCTAGTTGCATTAATTTAGTTTCACTTTTGTAGCCTTGGAACAGAGCAGAGGACTTCTTGGTAAGATAGCCTCGTATCCATTGTAATAATTGTCCACCTATATCCATTCTTGCTAATTCATACATAATCACTTCCCTATTAGCAATATCAAAGGCATTTTTTAAATCAAGAGATGTTGTGTATTTGTGCCTTTTATCTCCATGAACAGTGAAGAAAGGTTGTGATACAGTTGTGTACACTTTTACCATGTGTGAAACCATTGATATCAGGTGACATGTGCTCGTGTGCATGACGTGTACTAGACTCTATACAATAATCTATTAAGCACCATTCTCTCAAAGGTTTTGCACATGCAACTGGTCAGTGAGATGGGACGAAAAGCATCAGGTTGGCCAGGCTTTGGTACAGGTACCATGAGACTGCTGGTCCATGATACTGGCAACTGGCCAGTGAGAATTCGCATTAAACAATTCTAATAATGGTTTACCCCTCCCATTCAGTTTGTCTGAGTTCAGTCATTCTCTCCCTTGCCGCTGCAAGCGCGACCTGAAACAGTTTTAACATTTGAGGAGTTCTAAGGCTCTTATATGCTTTACCTGTCTGTCTAGCAATTGATTTAAGCTCTTTCAGTTTAGCATCATCATAGTACTGGTTGTGGCTGACCTGTTTACCAGTACTTCTTTTTGTTTGGTGTGACTCACTATTGTTGATGGCCTCATAGGTATTATTCACGAGGTCATCATAAAACTGTTGTACATTCTCAGGCTCATAATTGTTATACCAATGTTCAGTGCTATCTATAAGGAATTTTTCTTGCTCTTTCCTTACTGTTAGCCTGCGTCTACTCAGCTTAGTGCCAGGTAGGTCAACATTAGCCACGTGTATGTTAGCTGTTATGGCTAAATGGTCAGACATTAAGTCATCTATAATATCAGTCTCATGAGTAGTGTATGACAGGTTAAAGCCAATGCACCTATCTAGGACTCCTCCATATATTTGCGTTGACTGATTCTTACTAATAATTTGAACATCATCATATGCATCGAGAAGCGCCAACAATCTTCTCCCGTTGGTGTTTGTGAGTTGATCCCCTAATTGTTTGTGTTTAGCATTTAAATCTCCAAATAGGATTGTAGGGTCAGTACGCGCAAAATTAGGTAGGTCAAAATTAGGTATTGGAGGAGGCCAGTAGGTGCATAGGCATTCAAAACATTAAGTGTAGAGTTACCAACGTGTACCCGGATACCAGGATATTGAAACCCCTCTCGTTGTTGGGCGGGAATAGGCTCATGTGGCAGGGATTTTTTAACATACATGAGACACGCATTCTTTGATCTGGGATTATAGCACTGATAACTAGGCAGATTCTGCGTGGTTTTACCTGCGGGAGTTAGGGTTTCTTGAAGGCAGACAATATCTATGTCTTCAGTCATAACCTTATGATGGAGGTCAGAATACTGTTTTCTAAGAGAAGCAATATTCCAACTGAGTATCTTGAAGACACTGTACTTGTCTTTATTAGGTTGAGTGGTCGCCAGTGTTCCTTGTTTTTACTTTATCAGTCTGCAGTATCATACACTTTATTATATTCTGATACTGTTTGTAGTGCTTTATTACGGTGTTTCCCCCCAACCCATCGGTCAGCACATCACCTGACACCAGATCTGTAATCCCCTTACGGCTGAACCATCTGGGATGTGGCGTGTACGGTCTGAGGCGGACATCCACCTCCACCATCATCTTCACTGCTAGTGTCCTTCCAATAACTTTTATCAGCACCTGTATTCACTTCATCGTCTCCAACATCTTCATTACAATTCTCACTCTCACTGGCATTTAGTTCATTATCATGATCAGTTGCATTGTTATCTGCATCTTCAGCACTTTGCTCTCCCGTGTTGAGTAGTTCCCCTCTGTTAGCGCACCGCGTCCGTGAGGGCTCGGGTACCCTCACCCAGGGTGCCCAGCTGGTGTGAGGGCTGGGGTCAACACAGGGGACCCCAGGAGGCCTGGTCGACGACCGGGCCGCGGGGACGCTAAGCCCCGAAAGCACCTCAAGGGGTGCTCGCTACCAGGGCACTCATGGTGGTACTCCAGGGTGGTGTGACCTGCACCCATTCAACACTCCCACAGATTCCTGAAGACTGGTTATCATCGTCTTTTGCTGCAAGATTTCCTTGCTTTGCTCACTTGTTTGCACGCTGAGCTTTTACATAATTTTGCTTTGTCTTTCTACTGTATTCATTAGCTCATCAATTTTCTGTGCCTGATCCGGCCCCCGACCAATATTTATCGCTGAGACTGCAACTGTGTCACTCGAGCTACTAGCTGTGGCGTTGGGGTGGTTGGGTAAGGTAGGAGAGAGTGGCTGAGTGACTGCATGGAGGTTGCACTCCAGGTGTGTGCCAGGGCGTTGGGGTGGTTGGGTAAGGTAGGAGAGAGTGGCTGAGTGACTGCATGGAGGTTGCACTCCAGGTGTGTGCCAGGGCGTTGGGGTGGTTGGGTAAGGTAGGAGAGTGTGGCTGAGTGACTGCATGGAGGTTGCACTCCAGGTGTGTCAGGGCGTTGGGGTGGTTGGGTAAGGTAGGAGAGTGTGGCTGAGTGACTGCATGGAGGTTGCACTCCAGGTGTGTCAGGGCGTTGGGGTGGTTGGGTAAGGTAGGAGAGTGTGGCTGAGTGACTGCATGGAGGTTGCACTCTAGGTGTGCCAGGGCAGGTGAGTGAGCTCTTATCTGAATGCGTCAGCTTAGCCAAGAAGGGCTTTTGCGAGTTGAAGAGAATCCTCCGGAGTGACTTACCGGTCAGTAAGGTAGGGACCATCTCCCCATGACTAGTTAACCATCTGGTGCTTGGAGGAGGCGGGTAACAGCTGTCAGACGTTGCTCATCTTATTGATCATTGATGGTGTTGGACGCTCGCTGGCAGACCAGAGGTCATTCTCATTGTATAACTTTGATTACCTGTATTTTCTCTCTCACTTCTTTATTCTCAATCATCCAGCTTCCTTCTCCAGTCCTTCGTTTCTCTCCTCATGTGTTGATCTTCTCTTCTTTTGTACACAAGTTTCTACAATCTTGTCCCCAAAGATTTGATTGAATTAGATATGAATAATTAAAATATATACAGATATACAGACACAGGTCTGTATATCTGTATGTAAGGGCCTGTGGCTAAGTGGACAGCGCTTGGGACTCGTAATCCTAGGGTCCGGGTTTGATCCCCGGCGATGGCGGAAAACAAATGGGCAGAGTTTCTCTTACCCTGATGCCCCTGTTACCTAGTAGGAAATAGGTACCTGGGAGTTGGACAGCTGCTACGGGCTGCTTCCTGGGTGTGTGTGTGTGTGTGTGAGAGAGAGTGTGAGAGAGAGAGAGAGACAGAGCGAGACAGAGAGAGAGAGAGAGAGAGAGAGAGAGAGAGAGAGAGAGAGAGAGAGAGAGAGAGAGAGAGAGAGAGAGAGAGAGCAGAGAGACAGAAGACAGACAGACAGACAGACATATGCAGTAGATATGATAGAGGAAAAAAGGTCGGAAGTCAGTACTTTACACAACGGAAGGTTAGTAAGGTGTGGTCCAAGAGCCCAGCTGCTGGCAGAAATAGTGAATATACATACGACCATACTCAGAACCCGGGTACCCTGGTACCCACGAGTACCCTGGTACCCACGAGTACCCCTGGTACCCACGAGTACCCCTGGTATCCACGAGTACCCCTGGTATCCACGAGTACCCCTGGTATCCACGAGTACCCCTGGTACCCACGAGTACCCTGGTACCCACGAGTACCCTGGTACCCACGAGTACCCTGGTACCCACGCGAAATCGTGTACCGTTCTAAATCTTCGGCCCACGTCTACAGCACGTGTTGAAGCCTAGAGAAATGGTACAGCATTGAGCCGAGAGTTTCAGTTCAGATAAAGAAAGATAAATAGACAAGGAGAAAGAGAGAGAGAGAGAGAGAGAGAGAGAGAGAGAGAGAGAGAGAGAGAGAGAGAGAGAGAGAGAGAGAGAGAGAGAGAGAGAGATAAAGAGAGACAAAGATATGGAGAGTGAGACAGACATGCCAGGTCGATCCGGACTCCCAACACTTAATTAACATAACTTTTGGGGTCGACCCGTTCACTAAAAAAGTAATATAGGAATGCATTTCATATTTGATGGATAACTGCGATTCACATGTGAGCCATTTCACAAAAAAATAAAACTGCTATTGTAATTAGCCGTTAATGGCTTATCGAGTTCCCCCAATAGGGCCTCGACCAAACGAGTGACGTCCCCCGGGTTTCAACCCACAATAGTTGGCAAACTTCAGGGTACATAATTACTGCTAGGTGAACAGAGGCATCAGGCATAATGAAACTTGCCCCAACGCCCCCATTCTCCACGGGAATCAGAAAAGAAAATAGACAGAAAGCGCTCCGTGCCATTATTTTTGTTTTTGTAACTTTCATAATGCTGTGAAGAGCCACAACGCAGGCCACATCCACCAGGGCCGTGATGAGGGTTCGAACCTACGCACAGAATGTTCGAATCCACCCTTGTGGACTTGTTCACTTGATAAATCAGGTTATTGTGATTTCTGTGTGTACACAACCTACGCACATAGGGATACCGGTCGGCCGAGCGGACAGCACACTGGACTTGTGATCCTGTGGTCCTGGGTTCGAGCCCAGGCGCCGGCGAGAAACAATGGGCAAAGTTTCTTTCACCCTATGCCCTTGTTACCTAGCAGTAAAATAGGTACCTGGGTGTTAGTCAGCTGTCACGGGCTGCTTCCTGGGGGTGGAGGCCTGGTCGAGGACCGGGCCGCGGGGACACTAAAAAGCCCCGAAATCATCTCAAGATAACCTCAAGATAACAAAGCAGGCTGGATCTCTGTGAGGTATTACCATACCACCAAGTACTGTGGCACTTTACTGTGAGTCTTGAAGGCTTTGTTATTGCTGAAGCATTGTTAACCTAGCCCACTAACCGTCTGCTGTGATATATCACGTAATTACGTGATCCCCGAGTGATCAGTAGTAATGACCTTGACGACCACTCCTGTGGCGACGCCACACTCAGTGACTTCCTGACGACATTACTATGAATGTAATTTAATAATAACGTTGCGTTATCGTTGATTCAGTATTGTATCAACGATAGCGACGGTGATGGAACGTCACTACACCTGCATCTGCATCGGTCTTGATCTTGATACAAATTCATTTCACGAAATCCGTGATAAGTTTAAGGCAGACGGGACTATATTTATGATATAGTTTTCAAATACAAATTATATTTGTATTTGAAAACTATATTTGTATTTCAAATACAAATATATTTGAAAACTATATCATAAATATTGTCCCGTCTGCCTTAAACTTATCACGGATTTCGTGAAATGAATTTGTATCAATGTAATTGACACCTGTATTATGTCACTGGATTACTCAATAATAATAATAATAATATTTTAGCCGTTTTTAAAGTGTGTGCACTTGTATGTACGGTGAATATGTTGTGACTACCGGAGGGTCACCGCGCTGTGTTGGTAGGAAATAAGTTCTCTAAAACATCTTCGGCATACAGACGGGACGATCAGGTGGGGGAATAGGACTGAGGGAGTGAACTCTTAGCTCTTGGACCCCGTCTTTCCGATCGTCGGTTATCTAATGTACCCACGCCCGACCTATTTTCCTGTATTATATTTTTTACATATATATATTTCTCTCTCTCTCTCTCTCTCTCTCTCTCTCTCTCTCTCTCTCTCTCTCTCTCTCTCTCTCTCTCTCTCTCTCTCTCTCTCTCTCTCTCCCCCACACGAAGACCGTAGCAACAGTCTAACTCCCAGGTACCTATTTATTAATAGGTGAAAACGACATCAAGTGATTGAAACTTTGGTCATTTGTTTCTGCCTCGACCGGGAATCGAACCCAGGCTCTTTGGAGGACGAATTTTGAGGACTGTTCTCTCGGTTTTGAGGACCTGTGCGTGTGTATGCTTGTGTTAATGTGTGTGTGTGTGTGAATGTATGTATCTATGTATGTATGTATGTATGTATGTATGTATGTATGTATGTATGTATGTGTGGGCTTATTCAGTATGTGCGTGCGTGTGTTTGTGTATTTGTTGTTGTTGTTGTTTTAGATTCAGCTACGTTGCAACAACAAAAAGTTCCAAGTAGCACGGGCTATGGCGAACCCATAGTGGACGTACCTGGCACAGGAGCGGGACTGTATGCTCTGTGTGTTTGCGGGTGGGGGTGGCGCATAGTACTCGCCTAGTTGTGCTTGCGGGGGTTGAGCTTCGGCTCTTTGGTCCCATCTGTCAACCGTCAATCTACTAGTGTACAGATTCCTGAGCCTATTGGGCACAGAAATCCGCCTAATGGAGTCCGCCTAATTTTCATACATAATTTTCATCGTGTGTGCGTGTCGGCTTGAGAGAGTGTGAGTGTGTATGGGTGGGCTTGGTGAGTGTGTGCGTGTGTATGGGTGTGCTTGGTGAGGGTGTCTGTGAGTGTGTATGTGTCGGCTTGGAGAGTGTGTGAGTGTGTGAGTGTCGGCTTGGAGAGTGTGTGAGTGTGTGTGTGTGTGGGCTTGGTGAGTGAGTGTGTATGGCTGGGCTTGTATGCCAACATTCACATCGGTGCAGATTCGTTTGTACTCGTCAACGAAACAAGTGCGTGGGATAGAGAGAGAGAGAGAGAGAGAGGAGAGAGAGAGAGAGAGAGAGAGAGATGGAGGAAGGGAGAGGGGAGAATGGGGAGGATAGGGATACAAAGGGGAAGAAGGGATAGGGGAGAGTAGAGTAGTGGAGACAGGGAAGGAAGGAAGGGAGGCGGGCGGTGTACTCACCTAGTTGTACTCACCTAGTTGTGTTTGCGGGGGTTGAGCTCTGGCTCTTTGGTCCCGCCTCTCAACCGTCAATCA